CAGTTTCCGTAAAGGTTTCTCGTAAAGATTTTCACATAAGCGTAGGTTTTATTGAGGTTCTGCTTTTCGTTTTACTATGCAAAACCACCTCCCATTCAGCGAAACAAACGTTTCGTCTCTAAGTTGTTTCCTCCTAAATTGGCACTTAAATTGGCATTTGATCGTTTTAAACTATATTGGCTTTAGGATACTTCACGTACATCATCATATCAGAAATTAACTATATAAAGTATTAATGAATCTAGCATCAGAATCATTCCTTTAAATCATTTAGAGAAAGCATTCTGATAACCGTACATACGATTAATATTGCAGAAAACTGACCGGTTGACTTAGACGATATATTCAGCACGAGGAGCAATTTGCTAGTTCTTGAGTCTGAGTCACATGTGATAAATAAGGTGATCAAACCGCAAGTGACAGTCAACGCATTTCGGCTAGTGCCTTGCAAGTGGCAAAAACGCCCCGCACTGAGGTCGTTTGAAACAGGGAAATGATCGCTTGATCCGGCTCGATGACCGACGTTCAAATCAGCTGTTGGCACCTGCTGCACAGCTGGCGCGATTCCCTTTTTCACACCTTTCCTGTCAACGAGTCAAACCAGCTGCACAACTGGCTGAAACTCAAACATGATTTGGCCGAAGCAACAGCGAATTCGAAACGTAATTAACGGTTTCACTGAATGTTGTTGCACTGTTTATTGTTTCAACGGCAAGCAAACTTACAAAAACAATAAATACCTTAGCACAGTGCAAAGACAGAAAAAGGAAAAATGCGCTATATGCACTGTAGGCCCTTGAATAAGATGCAGCATAGTCTTCTTGAAAGATCCCCCTAAGTGTCCAGAAGTAACGAGGCTTCGCAACAGAGCTGCTGGTGTAATGTTAGAAGTAGATTAGAATTTTTCTTTCTTTACGCTTTGGATTTTCGCCGTCTCGATCCGATATCGTTATGTAATAAGTATCATAAGTTACGTTTTGCGCATGCTTTCAGAAAGGTAGGCAAAACAACCACGACTTGCTCAAATGACCGGTCGACGACCCGGAGACGTTCAAGATTCTCGAAGGACTATGCACCAAATCGAGATTTTCTTCTGCGGAAATTCATACGCTGGCACAGTATTGGGAATGTTATGAGAAAATCCATGAAGCCGCTGCCTCCTCTACCCGAAAGGACAAACTGCCACTGAAACAAACTGTCTATCGCAAGTTATCATGTATCACTCGGCTTCACTGAATAGTTGTGCAGATACTACTGTCATAAAGTATTTGGCAGTAGTTCATTGTCCAGCAACGAATTTAATGTAATTCAGGTTTCTCCCATGGAAGGTTCATGTAATTGCAATGGACGAGAAATAAGGCAAAATCAGACCTGTTCGTTTCACTTACTGCTGAGCATTAAGACTGAATTCTTCAACAGAATGCGGAGTTTATTATATAAGACATCGACTGATGTTGCATCTTAAAAAGACAGAATGCTCAGCGTTGATTTCACATCAACTGAAGCATGGGTTCACCCTGTTTACTGAATATAAACACGAGAACCGAGAATCCGCAAAGGTGGGATAACGTTTTCCCTTACACTTCCGGGATTTATGTTCTTT